ATATAAATATAAATACACGAACAAACATAAGATTTGCCAGTTATTTGATTATATCTGTGCAAGTGCCCTACTAATCGGGGAGACAAAGAGAGACAAACATGATATCATTTATTAATTCTTACATCTATYAAATTAATTTCTGTGTATTGAATTAATTTCTACATGTATCACATGCTTGCGTGTTTAGTCATTGTCAACATTTCTCTTGTGAATACCACATCTACATACTTATTTCAAGATACTTAAGATACTTATTTCTCAATCATTGATTGGCCGTTAATTTTTTCTGCACAATCAATTAATTTTTCTCCTCTCTAATCATAGTTAATGGAGCGGAATGGTTTGGAATCTCCATAGAACAAAGCTATTGTTTTGAGTTTGAGATTGAACCATACCATCATGTGATACTGACTTTTCACAATGAACTAAAGCAAGTTGTATCAATCAATCAATCAATCAATCAGTTTATTCAATCTACCTTTCTGGAAATATAGTAACAAGYATTCAAAATTCTATTAACAATAATYGTACAAATATGTAATAAAAGAAATAGTGATTGCAGATTTTATAATTGAATGTATATATATCCAGAAGGAAGACACCTGGCTGAAAATACTCATTTCCTTATTATTTTCATGTATGAACATTTTGATCCTTGCAGATACAGTTAAGTTACTAGATGATAAATAAGAAAGCATGAAAAAAGGAAATTTTCCTTTCAATAAACAATTTGTATTTATCATATATCATTAATTAACAAATAATGAGTATTTTAGAATGCTTTTTTTAGGGGGGAAAACTTCTATATTCCCAAATACTATGAACAAACGGAGCAACTTTTCCTTCTCTGTGCATGGTCAACGTCATATAACAATGGATAAAGTCAAACAAACACCTAGAACAATAGGTTTCCCAACCATTCCACTCTATTAACTATGGTCTAATCAATGACCAGTCCTCAATTGAAAATTAAACTTGCACTATTTTGCAGTGCCACTGACGAGTTTTCCAGCGACAAAAACCTTCTTGATGTTGCGGTCATCTCCAATATACAAAAATTTTTGCACCAAGTCTTCTATGCTATCATCTTCAAAAACATCAAATGGTGAGTCTTTGGCACCAGTGTCAATCAAGAGTGCATCAAACTGTTTACCCACTATGAAGTTGCCAATCACATTGTCAAGCCCTAAGACCTTACTTCCACCTAGGGTAGCCATGTAGAAAGCTTCTTTGTAGCTGATGGGCTTGTAGTCATCCCCCCTTGTAAATTGAATGGTATTAGAAGCTACGATAGCCATATGGATGGCACTCAGCATAGAGGGAGAGTGTCCCCCAGCGATGTCTGTACCCAGACCAACATCAATGCCATGGTCAGTCAAGAGTTTCACATCGGCAACACCACTTCTGATATCAAAGTTGGACATGGGGCAATGTGCTACACTAGTTTTGCATTCTGAAAGCATTTTGACCTCATCGAGGGAGACATGGCAACAATGAGCCATATATGTCTTTTCAGTTAGTAGGCCCATCTCTTTGTACAAGTTAGTGTAGTTCAATGAGTCTGGGTGCATGGCATTAACTTCTCTTATTTCACGTAAATTCTCACTCAAATGACTTTGTATAGGCAGTTGATACTTCTGAGCCAGTTGTCCAAGCCCTTTCATAAGCTCTTCACTACAAGTAATAACAAATCTTGGGGTTATGACAGGAGTGATCAGCGAGTCATTTTTAGCCAGCACATACTTGATGAACCTTTCGGTGTCTTCAACAGACCGTCGTGTACTCTCCACGTAAAACTCAGGAGCATTTCTATCCATACAGACCTTCCCTATATAAGCCCTCTGTCCTAATTCTTCAACAAGATCACACAGCACGGTACAAGCGTCGTAGTGGATCGTCGCAAAATAGCTTGCCGTTGTGGTACCATTCTTGAGTGTTCTTTCAACTGCTTTACGATAAGCCATCTTGGCGAAGTCTACATCCTTGAACTTGGCCTCCGAAGGGAAAGTGTATTTCTCAAGCCAGCCCAAAAGCGGTAAATCGTATCCAGTTCCTGTGAAGATGTACTGAGGAGCGTGAATGTGGGTATCGACAAAACCAGGAATGATATATTCTCGCCCAGACAAATAGGTCACTTGGTCTGTAGTGAACGAAAACTTTTCTTGGAGATCTACAATTCTCGACTCGTCGTCGAAGAAAATGATCTTGCCTGAAGAATCAACACCAATCGCTTTATTCATAAGAATTTGCATCAGATTTTCATTGCTGGAGTGAACGAAGGTACCACAGAATACTTTATCACATTTGGCGCTCGCCATTTCCGTTCGTTTTAATTCGTCGTTGACTTCCTTGTGTGGTTTAATCGTGGGAGGGTAATCGTGGAATCCCGAGTAATGAAGCGTGGATTGATGTAGTCTCCCCCGACACTGGTGAAAAACGCACTGCGCACGCTCGGAGATGGCATAGCGTAACTAAGGGCAACTTATGTTTTTGATGCCGGTGTTTTGATTGTTTTACAAAATCGCAAAACTTAAGAAAAATCCTGAAAACTTAAGGTTGTCCTTTTCGCAATAGCAAGATAATTTCGATAGTGATACACTGCTGATTTATACAAAAAAACTTTTGTTTATACAAAGCAAAAATAATCTTTGAAAATGCCGCAAACTCGAGGTCCGACGTCGACATCCAGCATGGCTAATTTGCAGATAATCACATGGTCGGATCCTATGTAAAGAAATCCAAAAATATGTGTAAAATTCCAAAACGAATATTTTAAAAATAGCCCTGTCGGTTAAAATAAAACCTACCTTTACATGTGATCAATTGTTATTGTCCGCCATTTTGTTTTTTCTCCCAACGCATGCGCAGTGCGTTTTTCATCAGTGTCGTCTCCCCCACGGAATATTTTATTATGCTAAGTAGAACTGGAACCCAGGCAGAGTAACGAAGTTCAAAATTAGTAGTCAAGAATCAAAACTATAATTTAGTTTAAATTGATTCATTAATTCGACCTACAGTTGTTAGTTTATTTAATTAATAGCGCAGCGCATTCGTGACGTCATAAAAACGAAGACAAAGGCGAAATTCGGACAAACAAACTTACAAGTTTACTTTCAGCAGATAATTTTCACAGCCGATCGCAGTTGAGCTTGGTTTACATAGGTTATTATTGTAACTTTAAGTAAAAATAATAAAATCGGTTCGTATAATGCAATGTTTGTCCGAATCTTTAAGCTATTTTTAGAATCACTCCCCGATCAGGTGACCCGGGACGTCTAGAGGTGACGTCATCAGATCTAAGGAATTGCTGCAAATGAGAAACGAGTTRCCTCTGTTTTTAAAGTATTCTATCTTTAAAGAAAGGTTCAAGAGATTCTACTCAGCTAAATAGATTTCAATTTTGTTTTTGACGTGTTTGCTTATCGTTTAGAAATATTGTTGTTTAGTCTGCCCAATATTAAGCAATTGTTGGATGAGGTTGAGCAAGATATCGTAAATTATCAAGTCCGTGGCTGTGTTATCTGTCGAAGCCTGACTACTAAAGTTTCACGGATTTACTGTGGTCACTCTATAACCGTGATTTGATTTAGTAATACTAAATAACACAATTTCATGCAAATTCCATTGTTTTCTATTGTCTAATTAGTACTATTTTGTACTATTTAGTAATTAGTGTTTCAC